GGTTCAAAATGGTTCTATTATGATTTGTGCTGTCTGTTAAAGAGATAATTTTTTTTTTAAGTGTTGGGCGGACTCAGTCCGGTTCTACTCATCTGGTTGGAATAGGGGTTGTTGTGGGGGAAGCTTATAACACACACACACACACACACACACACACACACACACACACACACACACACACATAGCCGGAAAAAAGAAGGCAAGTGTGCTGGGAGGGGAAGAAGAAGGTGGTGGGCTGGAGGAGGAGGAAGAAGAAGGTCCCTCTCTTTCCCTCTCACTATACCAGGCACTGACCTGCGAAACGTGGCACCTTGATGTAGGTACAGACGTGCTGAAGACGAAGCTGGAGCGATGGCGTCGCAGATAAGTCTCAGGTAAGTCCCCTGGCCTCCGCCACAGTCTCTCTCCTCTCCCTGAGCTACTCTAAGTCCTATCAGCGCCCAGCGCTGAAAGACTACCGCTACACTGCCGCCGCCCGAAGTATGCCTCCACTCAATCCTCTACTAAATCCCCTGACTGAGGCTGGACCCAGCTATATATAGTGCTGGGTCGGCCTCAGCTGCTGAGTCCTGGCGCCCAAACTGAGGCTGGGCCTTGAAAGTTTGGCGCCCAAACTGAGGCTGGGCCTCAACCCCCGAAGTGCCTGCTGAAACAGCACAGCCTCTGGGTCAGGGTCTGACGCCCAAAATGTGCGCCAGGGCCTGAATCCGAAACGAGGCCTACAGCGCCTCTAACTGGTACCAGTCGGCCTAACCTAACCGACAGACCCTACGGGCTCTAATGCGGGCCGAAACGTCACAGACCTAACCCTACTAACCCCTACCCTACCTGGTCAGGCCCTGCTGGGCCCGTGTGGAACTGAGTATGCCACACCTCCCCCTCCTTGAAAGACCGAGCTTACCTGCGAGGGCGAAGCTGTCTGGTGGAGGGAGGGACTGAAGTCCGGGTAGGAGGGGCAGGCTCTGCAGCTTCCGTGGCTAGTCGTTTTTTATATTCGGCGTAGATAAGCGGTATGGAGGCTTGCAAGGCTCCTTGTGAAATCCATCGCGTGTCGTTGGTCGCACCACTTGAAAGTGACCTTGTTTCTTGTTGTCGTGCTTGTGATGGGTGATGATGCGATCGACTTCTTGAAGACCATCCATAGAAGGAGGGTCCTGCGATCGTCGGCCTGGGAAGTCATCGCACTTGGCTGGTGTATATGTAGCCAGCGTGGAGGCGTGGAAGACCGGGTGGACCGTTAGATGCGGCGGGATTTTGATCACAAAGGAGGGGCCATCGGGCTCATCCCACGCGGCTAACATGACGGTCCATGGTCCAAACCACTTTGGAAGTAGCTTGTGCGAGACGTCTTGTTCAAGTGCAAACTCCTCTGTGGAGACCCAAACAAGGTTGCCGGCGCCGATAGGGCATGGCACGCGACGCCTATTGGCTTGCTGTTGCATGCGGACTTGAGCCTTTTGCATGATGGCGTGGGCTTTAGCCAGCAAGTCCCTATACTTCCGAACGGATGCGGGAGAACAAGCGGCGTCGATGTCGGGAATGGAAGATCAGCGAAGATACGGCCTTTTCGGCCACCATGGTGCAACTCGAATGGAGTCACTCCGATCGCAGGATGCAACGAAGTGTTGTAGGCGAACTCGATGTCGGGGAGGCGGTCAACCCAATCCTTCTGATCTGGAAGGATGAGTGTACGAAGCATGGTTTGAATGGTTTGATGTGCCCACTCTGTTTGCCCGTCCGTTTGTGGATACCGAGCCAAACTCGGTTTCATCTCGGTGCCGGATTCCTTCATGAGAGAAGTCCAAAATGCCGACATAAAATGAGTGTTGTGGTCGCCGACGATGTCTTTCGAAACACCGTCGCCGCAAATCCAGTCGGTGTGCAAGAGTCTCACAAGCTTGGGAGCCGTGGCGTGGTGC